CACGATGCATCTACCAGTCCAGTTGGAGGGAGAAGGTAAAGGAGGAGGGATCAGAGAAGGAAGGAAGGAAAAGAAGGAAGGAGGAGGAAAAATGAAAGAGAGGAGAGGCTTCCCGGTTGACAAGTGCCCTGAGACGGTTGCCGTGGGGCTGCTGAAGAATCGTGATGTACCAAGAGAACACCCTGGTTACCCATGGCTTCGACAGATTTTTCCTTATTCATGAATATTTGATAATATTGAATCGGTGTTGTCGTGATTTTTAGTGCCTCTAGATATTCGATAGGGGGCTCTATATACTGGTATGCTTTATCTTGATCTCTTTAAATCTACGGATATTAACGCGCTATCCTGATGCTATTTCTCGCTCCAAAACTAATGCAGTTTCTTTGATGAGATTTTTCAAATCGGAAGTTCTGACTCTATCGAAGCTCCTGATCTACTGACTGTGATTTTAACCTCTACTTCCAGGTCGAATTTGCTATCACTGTTATTCAATTACCAGTACAACGACAAGACTTTCTTAATCACATTAAGACGGCCAGTTACAGAACCCTTCTGTGAAACTGCTAAGAAGGCAAGTTTCTAGCATTCAACCTCATTTGGTAGAGAATGAACCAGAGTTCGTTGTATTGACGAATAAATATGTTATTGCGCGGTAGTATGTTTGACACTTTTGAGGGATTTTTCGATTCGTTTTACTTCATGACTACTTTTTCAGATAGAATTTAAAATCCATAAAATTACGACACCCCAAAAGAGCAAGAAGACTGCGGTTCCTGATTCGATTCCATCTACAGAAACATCTGAAGCAGCGGTTTCGGTAGAAGCATCCAGCTCTTCAAACAAAGCAGATTCACTTGTAAGCTGTGACTGAGTTTTCGTGATGGAATATGGTGATCACGATTGTTTTTTTACAGACTCTCGAGGAAGTTATGGATTCTGAGAAACATTTAGTGGTGGGTGGTACCCCATACTCTATTATTCGTGAGCCGGTCGATATAGCGTCAATATCCTGCTCAGTAAAGCCATTGGCAGGATGTCCTATCTATCCAGCTATTGATTTCAGACAAGGTCAGTCGAAAGTGGACATTGTTCTTTTGATGGTTTTGAGTACTTGTATAGAGTGCTGCAGAACTTCAGTGGACTGATTATGTACCCGTGTGAAATGAGTTTGAGAAGATGGGCTGGCTCTACACGCAATGCCCGGGTTTAATTCACGGCATCGAAAAGCTTTTTTCGGCTTTCACCCCGCAAGACACGGGTACGATTCTCGGCATAAGCAAAGTTTTTGCAGTTCTTGTGGCAAGGAACTAAGTTCGTTGGTTTGGAGGCTTCAGTCTGAATGGCTGACCGTGCATGGTCCGATGTGGTCTAGTGGTTAGGATTTGCGGCTCTCACCCGCAAGGCCCGGGTTCGATTCCCGGCATCGGAAAAGTTTTTGTAATTAGTGTGGCGGGAGACGGACAGCCGTTTGGTCCTGTTAGGTGAGATGAGTGGTCCTTTCCGTCATAGTAAGAAGTTCTCTGAGCCATAAGGGCTAATGATTACAAAGTTCCTCAAGTCTTTGGAAATTATTCTGGTATGATAAGGACTGCGACTGATTGGGGAGGGTTGTTGATAGAGGCTTTGTTCAGAGCAGCGCACACATTGAACCAGACGAGTCTGACTCCACCAATTCCAGAGATTCAGTGACACGGGCGGTAATCGACTCGGGTGTCCCTACCCTGCGCATGTGACAACCGGCGCCATATGTTACTACACCACTTTTGCTTTGTAGTGCATTTTTTTCTTACCTCATTTCGTTTTCTCTTCCATTTGTTAAACAAAATCGGGCTAAAGAAGGGGTAGTCAAGCTGTAATTTGTTGGGAACTTATTAAGGAACGCCAACGGCGAAGCCGACACTGCATTGGTATATCTACACTCCTCCTGCAAGTGCAGACCTCTCATCTAACAGCAATATCAAGGATGCAGTTGGTTCTGAAACAATATCATTGATTGAAGGTAATTTTTTTGAATATTGCTCTGTTACACTATGTATAATTGTTTGCTTGAGTTTTTTTTTCAAAGATTTTTATAAAAAGAAATCCCCACTAGTTGCTATGTTTCACTCCTTAAAGGCTCGTCTCGCAGATTTTCTGTAACGAATTGTGAATATCGCTGGACAGGTGACTGTTATGTTCCGTCGGCTGCCGATTCGGGAAGCTGTTATTACTCGTTGCTGATCTGGGTCCGGAATCCATTGTCATAGTCAAGTGTTTACTTGTTAATACGTATTATCGGTGCTACTCTGTCCTGCTTATCATGATTCGTTATTCGTTTTGTGTTATGATAGGAGACGTTCAGATGTGGTGTCTCCAAATATCCTATCGAAGTAGTAGACGAGCCGCTAATTTTTGAGGAGAACATCAAATGGTGCCAAGAGCGGAAACCTAGCGCCAATGGTATGTGTTTTTACTTTTCTAATCCTTGTATTGTTCTCAAGGGCGCTAATTTAAGATAGAGGTGCAGTCCATTGCGCTAGAAGACTGCCTTCCCATTTGATGGCGTCCCCATTGGTTTCCCTTAGATGGTAAATCTCGCTACGCTAACAGCTTTCTATGCCAATTCTTTGAAATTTCCTGTTGGAGGCATCATGCTGTATTTTTGCCAAAGACCAGTAGGAGTAGGGGGGGGGTGCACGTGGGTGAAGTAAAATCTTTTCTGCAGGAACCGGGTGTTGCATTAGTAAAAACTGGCCCACCCTCAGGGCTCCTACTTGCACTTCACTAGCGTGTCATCACGAGTTCTAACGTGTGAGGCAGCGCAACGGCGCGCTGTAGTGCGCATCGACGCGCTACCGCTACAATGGCGCTTTAATGCTGGGGACGGGAACGCAGCCGCACATGAGGATCGATCGGCGCTGACCGCTCGTGTTTTGAGGGAGCGTGGAAGAATAGGAGGTTACTAGACTGTGAGGTTGCAGCGCATCGTGACAGCGCGTAGGCCGCGTCATCACGAAGTCTGAACGCTCCCTAGCACGTACTGGACTGCGGTCCCGTAGCGGACTAATGCTTTCTCATAAATAATCTTTCAGCGTACGGGTAGTATCGTATAACATTCTTGCTGACCTATATTTGGATTTATCTGGTCCAGAAGAATCGCTGTTTTTCCCATATTGTCCTAAGGCCTATCAGATGCACGAGTATAGATATCCACTGTTACTCAAGGAGTTACAAAGTTAGTTTATTCTCTCTTATTTCCATGTTTTCAAAGGATTTGTCTGCTTGTGGATACCAGCAGAATATTCCCCTAACTATCTGGCGTGGGCTACTTCGGCTTTGTTACGTTCGGCGAATAAGGTCCTCGTGCGAATGTCATCAGCTGCATAACATCAGCTGCAGCTCTTCTTTCGCGCTACTCCTCGATGCAACCTTGATCGAAGCGGCCATTAAAAATGAAATGTATACCGGCTGAAGGTCTTCGGACGGGAATTACGAAACCGTCTTCCATATCTGCTGCGGACCTCCCAGAAAGAAGTTACGGAGCTTTTTAGGGGGAGAATATTCGCACTACAAATTGGCGGCGTAAGGCTGAA